ATCTATAACTCGATATACGGCGCACAGCTAAAAACATGAACAATTTCTTTTATAACAAAGCAACAGCAAGGATCTGTGAGAAGAAGCTGTTTCATTGTGATAAAGTGCAAAACTCTCACACAACGCACAAAAAAAGTAAACAAACATCCCTATTGGCTGGCCAGAAAAACGCCACATTTAATACTTTGGTTTGAGCGAGCGCATTTGATCCAGATAATCAATAACTGTGAATAAAAAGCTCAAAATTAACGGGAAAAATGAAGAAAACCAAAGCTAAATGAGGTCAAGTGTCACTATAATATGTTTTAAAACTCAACAATCCGACAAATTTGCGAAACGTGCAACTTGCGAGTGCTTTTCGGCTTTCAGTATTTTTGCTGCTTGTTGGATCAGGGCCTAAAAGGTCAATGCCGATAGAAAAATTGGGCAGTTCTTCACTAGTTTCTTCCATATTTTACAGAGAAGGAAATCTGCACTGCAGCTTAACAGGACGGCAACCCTGCAGCCAAGTAAAAATAAAAAGCTCACGTCATCTTATTTACGTACGGGCGTGCGTAAATAAAGAAACAGTTCATAGCGGCTCGATAGGACTCAGTTGGGGCAAGCACACGCGCTATGTTGTAACATTATTTTTATTCCTATGTCTATATATATATATGTTCAGTTTTTATTATTGTGCTTATACTTTTACAATAAAGCCTACTTTTGCCTCTTTTCCTTTGACTTACATGTTCTTTTCATAAGCCTCCTTGCAACTCAAAACTGCAAAAAAAAGTATTGAAACGGTGTCAAAAGTTTACGATGATTATAATCTACTTTCTATGACTTTGAGTCGTAAACATGGMAAAATGAACCATTTTGGTCGTTTGAATTATGGATTACATAACAGACACAGTTTCAGTTCCATATGGTTGTCGGGCAATCCCTTGATATCAGTGTGGGAGGCGTGTTAATATTCCTCTGTTTGGAGGTTTTTGAAAGCCTCCTTCATTTCCTTCATGTTAAACTGCCCTTTAAAATGAATTT